TGTATTGAGTATTAATGTTAATGATAAATGTTATCAACGCACAAAATGTACATGTTATCTTCGCAGTGGCTACTTAATATATATAATGTGTTTGTAATCAGATTCCAGAAAACGTAATTTCTATATTACATCCTATGATATCTTTAAATATATTGCTCGGTCAGGTATTTCTCCTCAGTTATTTATGACATTCCTGTTTGAAGTGATTGTCGATTGATAATGTGCCTAGCAATGGAGAAGAGATGTCTAAAATTGACGTATTATTAGGTGAATATTGTCAAACAACAACGTTAGACCCATGTCACTCATACTCACTTTCGATATTTAGTAACACCAACGTGACGCCAAAGACAGTACGAATACAGTGTATATTGCACCAATGTAGTTTTCTTTTCTGTTACTTTACTTTACTGGAATGTTTTGTGCCAATACTAAAGTAACGTTTCTCATTCCACATTATGTCACACTTGTCTTTTATCAATCTAAAGCAATAAATAATAGTAAAGACTCATTTCATCATTTGATTTTTATCTTAAAAATTTCACCTTACTTGTACACGTAAGGAAATGTCTGTTTTGTCAACAATGGTGGATTTGGTGTCGGTTAGGTGTACATAGATGCGTTTCTGTGATTGTACCTAATCGTATTATTTTTTACTTTCTTGAACCTGAACTGACAATGGTTCGTTAAGGCTGTACGGAATCAGATACTATACTTTTATAGTAATAAATTTCGACGTGTGGAGCTGATAGATGATATTTTTGAAAGTTTTATGTTCCCTTGTCGGTTTACAAGCACGAATTATCGTTTTATTACTCTACAAATCACATGACATTTTATTACGTCGACGCAGAACAGTTTTTAGCATAATTCGATCAGATTACTTTTTAAATTTAACCCTTTAAACTTCCTTGATCTATGATAATTAATTTCCAAACATTCAAAACCAATACCGTGTAATAATAATACGTAATTGAAATGGGAATGTGTATCAGGGTATTGTCCTCGGCACCAAAGAGCAACATGAGTGACAGGCCAATGGCAGATTCTCCCTTGGGAAACAAATTCAGTACAGTTGCATGGGTGTCAACAATGTATGCATTGGAGTTATAGAGCCATAAATATATTACAAGTCGGCTGAAGCTGAAGTAACATACAACGTTTTTGTAAGATGCTAAGTCAATACACAGTTAAATGAGGGAGTAGACGGAAGGTTTATCTGTAAGTGTGGTATGGTGTCTCAGTAGATGCTTCGACTTCAGTGATGAGTAGTACACACGTGAAGTTCCGGGTTAGTATTGGTCTTCAGCTACCCATGATTGCCATAAGACCTGGCTCGCTGACCTGGTTCATGCATGACATTGTATCCAAAAAATGTGTAAATCGATGTTCATGATATCAATCACAAGATTGTCTAGTCCAGATTCGATTATTTAGACCGCTGTCATACAGCTGGAATATTGCCGAGAAATACTAAACAAAGGAAGAGTAATCCACTATTTAATATATTAAGAATCACAATCGTATCTAATCGTTCCTAATAATAGTTGTTTTAGTTTAGATTACGTTTTTCCGTCTCTTTTAAATTCAACGTTTGTGCAATACATGAACTGATATCGCAGCGAGCCTTTCAAAACATTATTACAAAATATTCTTGTCTATGTCTATTTCCAAATATGCTTAAACTGTAACGACTTTTGTAAATGAAATTATACTTTTCGATTAAGTTTTTGAACAATTTGAAGTTGGCATTTTAAATATATTGACATTCATTATAAGCGGTAAAGTTTCCCTCTGTACATGTATGTTTCACATGCAGTTGCACATACAAAACAATTCAAGTAAGAACAGGTCCCAATCAAACTTTGCTGTTCTTGAGAGGGAACTTAAATGAAACGAGTTGACTGGATAGTCTCGATTACATGATTCCGTGTCACCTTACTCCTTTGTTGCTCTTAATATTAATCACTGGATTTGATAAACACAAGCTTACACACACAAACTCGTAACCATAACGAAAATGTCATTTCAAAAGCGTGAATTTGTCGCATTCATTTCTGGCACGGCTCCCACTGTCATGAATACCGTTTTCACACCGTGAAAGGTTCTTATTCAGCTGTGAATAATCTGTTCCCTCTGTGGTTGTAAATGGATGTATTTGTCATTCTTCCTGCCTGTATTCTATAAAGTTATACCTGCATGTCACATTTCGATGTTTTCTATATTTTCACGATTTCATCATTATTGTATGTTTGGAAAGTATGACTAGTGTGCTTTTGTCTAGAGCTTAATTTTCCATTCATTTTGCATGACATTGTATTTGTCGTCAATGGCATTTAACCATTAAATGTATGATTCTTTTCAGATGTAATGCTCTATGCTGACATATCTACTTGTTTTTCAAATAATTTCATGTAAATCTCTCTGAATACATCTGTTGTATTCAAACTTTACAGAAAATCAAGCAATATATGTCAGCTAAGTTTAAAGGTTTTCTCCCAAAACCCCTATATCCCATAACCCCTACAGCATAGTACCCCTACAATTATTTAAACAACACGCGGCATTTACCTGTCTGGCATAATTACTGACCCAAAGGAGAGATTACAGGGTGGAGTATACAGTGTGAGATTAAGATGCACAGAGTATACAAATGAGAAGGGAATAAGTATTGTGCTGTTGTTACGAGGGTTTTAATCATTCATTTAAAGAAAATAGGGATCAATTAAATGTTGAACTAGTTTTTTTAGCTTCTTGATATACATACTGAGTAGGCAGATTTTGCAAATCGTAATAATATCAGTTGTAATAGTGTTGGAGATAGTAAACTTACATAAATAAATTGAGATGATTTTGGGTGGTATATATTAGGGGCGTTCATCAAAGCCATATCAATAATTTCACATATCACAACACATTGGGGTATAACATTTCTTTAAAAAATTGTAAAAAATGAAAAACGATCTGTCTTCTCCATCGTTCCCAGACACGCATAAATAACGTTGTCGGATAATCACCACTTGTTATTATCTGGTGTTCATGTTTTATCATTTTGATAATAGAAAGATATGTTGTGTATATGTGTGTAATTTACGAAGGATGATACGTCAATAAATTTATTTTGTCAGCAAACAATGTGAATGTCTCAGGATATCATGTTTGTAAGGGCTATAAAGCTTCCAGGACAGCTGCTTATATAAATGTCAAAGTCAGTTGTGCTCTTTCTCCGGAACATATAATTGGACAGAGTGTCTTCTGCGTTTAAATGTTAATTCTATTACTTCCGACAGCTATATGTATATTGTTTGTTTATTCTGTTTCGTAAATGAGACAATCTACTTCAACGCTCTCACAGCAAATATTAATAACCCCAAAACTACTTCATCGCTATTTTATTTTCATTTGACTTTAGCTCTTTAACATGCCAACCTTTTGCAGTGCACCTGACAAACGCAATTCGCCGATATTTATTTAGGGTTTCAATTTATATCAGCTTTGGAATTTGGAACCCTCTCCTGTTGAATAGTTTTGAAATCTATACCGCCGACACTCTGGGCCTCAAGTTCACTGTATTTTACAAAACCATATAAACAACATTAAGACAACATGCATCATTCGTTAGTTCACTTCACCGACATTATCTAGTTGCTGACTGTGAAATGATGCACAGATTTTGTACCATTTATGACATGGTGTGATGGCGTGATCGTGATCATACTGAGGCTATATCTCAGATGGATTGTTGTGAGGTATATCGTTTGCATCCCTCGCTTAGATGTTTAAATGTCAAAGTTACACTTTATGTGGAACCGATGAGAGTTAGGAAGTTAGCACTTCTCCTAAAAGAATTTATAACCTAGCTGTGCAATAAAGACCATTTTGTGAGCATTCTTAACAGGAGGAGTTTTTCCAACTCCAAGAGGTGAGGTTGCGTCAAACCTGCAAGGTACTTCCATAACCCACTCGTAATTGATCAATTAGAAGTAGAACATGAAAGTACGTGTGCGTCTGTTCTGAAAATGGCGTATGTTCCAGTATATCTCTAGCCATTCCATATGTTATCATGAATACACAATACACGATGTTATCACAGCCACCACGCGGAAACCTGACCCCAGGACAAGTGGTCTTGAACAAATGACTCCTGGACAACTGGACCTGGAATGTTGACCCCCATAAAAGTTGGACCTGGGCAGTCGACCCCTGGACAATTGGACATGAAAAGTTGAAACCTGGACAACTGGACCTAAAAAAGGACAACTGGAGAATTGGACTAAGAAAGCTGATACCTGGACAATTGGACATCAGAAGCTGATTCCTGGATAATTGAACATGAACAGTTGAAACCTGGACAAATACTCATCATTGGTAGATCTATACTTCACTATACAAGAAGAAGGTAAAAGATATATCTCTAGCCATTCCATATGTTATCATGAATACACAATACACGATGTTATCACAGCCACCACGCGGAAACCTGACCCCAGGACAAGTGGTCTTGAACAAAATGACTCCTGGACAACTGGATCTGATATGTTGATATAATTTTCAAAAAATTGGTGTTCTCATTTTCATCATACAACTTGTCACTCATTTTAGATCAAAACTAGCATTTCTCTCAGATGGTTATCGAAGGTTAAACGTGGACACGGTGTGACATGCAGATACGTTTGAACGCTTGAAAGTGAAACAGTCAGTGGGTTACTAATGGGTTTTATATCCATTCCATGTTTTGGTTATTGGAAACACCAATAATGTAGCTCATACTCGAAACCTCAGCGCCAGAGAATCAGACTCGATTATCTGCCGAAACTGAATCCTCGATTGGCAAAGACACAACTGTGTCGAACATAAAGGATGGCTCACTGAAACTCACTGATGGCACCAGTTGTGTCGTGAAAGGTCCTGTTCTTCCTGCAGAAACTACATCCAATACTGTTTCAGAACACATTAAAATCGTGTTACTACAAGTAATGTTGTATCACAGAAATGATGTTGGGTTGCCTTCTATTTCAAATAAATTTATTATGATTTATTGCTGTAACGTCCCACATATCACCGAGGTCGGACTAGTAATGGGTAGCATTCCGTAATGTCCCAGTTTAATCAGGACTAATGTCACCTAATGGCTGAATTTTTAACGGGGGTAATCGGTTACACTTAAGCGATGAAACAGGATCACACGTGGCCTAATGTGCCGCATTTGTTATGCTACTTGTGATATTGAACGAACCAGACAAACAGTGTTGATATTTTGCATGCTATGTAAACTTTGTCCATTTGTTCTGGCGGCACTGATCAGTATGCCTTTGCTTCCATGTGAACCATTATGTTCCGGACGTTTTGTATCAATAATATCTCTCCAACTAAAATCCTCTTCCAAGTAGCTGATCAAGCATGTTTAATTATGTATCTATGGTTCACACAACAACAGTGCAAAGACATATATCTCAAATGGATTAATGACAACACGCATTTAAACATAATAAAAATGGTGGAAGTACATGATGATATTCAGATACCGTAAACGGTATGATAAACGGAAGTGGCAGCATAAGGAAGTTCCAATCACGGATCAAAACGATTATTCCACTACACGTTAGATACGGACTCTTTCAGCATTAATCGACCCGCAATAAGATAAATTAAGATCTGGCAATCCTGGCGCACCAATTACTTCGAGAATTAATCAGAGGCACATTCTGCCGCTCTGATAACTATTAAAACACACACGGGGGAGTTAGATGTACGGGCTAAGCATCAGCTTTGGCAAAAATAGAAAGTTAAATAGAAATTCTTTTTGTTCCCTAAGCAAAAATAATTCCATTCCTCAATGTAAATGGGCCCCTACAACCGAAGTAAGAGCTTAATACCGGTTTAGTCTTTTGGGTACTTTATTTCGCACTCAGCAATATTACAGCTATATGACAGCGGTCTGAAAATAATTGAATCCGGACCAGAAAATCCAGTGATCAACAGGATGAGCATCGATCAACGCAACCGGGATACGATGACATGTGTCAACCAGTCAGTGAGCCTGACCACCTGATCCCGTCAGTTACCTCGTACGACAAACATGGGTTTGCTGAAGGCCAATTTCTAACCCTGATCATGGGTCGCTTAATACCGAAGGCTATACATCTTCTAATCTAATCTAATCTACATCTAATTCGAATTTAATTTGAACATTTATCGAATATAAGATTTTTGTGATTTAGGTTAACTGAACACAAATATTGTAGTTTATATTCTATGATCAATTCTGACAGTTTGTCTTTCTACAATAATGTTACGATTGTAGGTTAACTGTTATTATTATGAATAAGTAGTTACTAAACAATAGGCCCCAGGGATATACAAGGGGTTAGAACTGGCCTTCAGCAACCATTATTGTAAGAGACGAATGTCGGATCGGGTTATCATGAGCGCTGTCATAGATCATGGTTGCTGACGTATTTAAGCTGTGTAGGTCGGTGCTCATGGTGTCCATCACTGGAATGTCTGGTCCACACTCGATTATTTACGTCATGAAGTTTGCAAATATTGCTGAGTGAGGCGTTAAACAACACATCAAAGAAAATACAAAGTAATATGTGACATTGACACTCTTTGTACAATGATGCAGTTTGATAATTATCCACGTGTAACTATTGATTTGTCTTTGCATGTGTTTGCAACGAGTGCCACTGATGGGGCAGGATGCGCTCCCCTTTTAGCACATAGGTAGTATCATCGCAGATGAATATTGATTCATGAACACATGCACATCACATAGTCGAAAACGTAGAAGAAACTTCAGGATCAGAAAGAATTTTGCTTTGTTTTAACAAACAACTGATTTTTATCCAGTCTTCTATAAATGAAAACAGTTAAGGCTAAACTTATGATATTGTCTAAACAAATATGCTCTTTGGTCGTCTTCTGAAAGTAGTCATTTCGCAATGTTTGACATACAAGCACTTCAATATCTAGAGGCGATGTCGTTCATACTCTAAAAAATTGTATTCAGTTGTTCCAGGCGTATCTGTTGTATTTCCTGTATTCGTTTCAAGATTTAATCTTTGATGTGTAAATTCGGTTTCCATAATCTGAATCAAGTCAATCCCTTTGAATGTTGCGACTGTTACTTTTCAGGGTCAACTTGAGTTGTTTTGTCTCCATACCTGATTCCAAGTTTTGAAAGCAAACAACGTTGTGTGAAAATATTAAACGTGTTTGCTCAGATCAACGCTCTTGCGTGATCGACACATATCCAAATCGCAATTCCGACGGCGTCATTGTTATTTGGTGTTACAGTACATAAACTAAACGTTGAAACATTAATACAATCTTCAGCTTACGTTTGATATAATGCATATGGAATCTGTAGTGTTGCATGGTGGCCAATATGGGAGCATCCATTTGAAAGCATCATTCTTATATTTCCTGCCAATATATTTCTAGAGAGCATCCATTTGAAACCATTATTTTACTCCCTGCTCAATTATTACTTCCCATATTGTCTTGTGGCAACAGCCTGTTGCAACAGGATAGGCGCATCCAGAGAGGGGTGGTGGGTGGGTTTGCAGGTGTGCGCACCCCCCGTTTTGTGCTGAAAGTTTGTTAAATGACCATTGAAACTGGGGTGAAAATGAAGTGTGCACCCCACCTTTCTCAAAAAGCTGTATCCGCCCCTGAACAGGTCTTAGGGTTTATTTATTTCATCACTCTTATACTTCCTGCCCACGTATTCATTACGACGTTGTCGGTTGATGATAGCATTTGTTGATGAATTTTGTCATGAATAGTTCGGTCCGAATATGCCCAAAATGAATTAGTTGTGAACAAGATGAATAGTTTGGATTGTAGGCAAATACCCAAACGTTACAATTTGTGTAAATAGTTCAGTTTAATAATGATTGTTTGATGGTGCTCAGTAAATAACCTATTGGATATAGCATTGTGAAAATAGCCTGTTCTAAAACAAATACGCAAATAGTAGCTAAGAGACGGCGGTCGGTAAATAACCGAGACTGGACCAGACAACCGTGTGGGCGACATAACCCTTTCATAACTATCAGTACACGTGTACACACCACGTTGGAATTGGAAGTATCATGCCATCAAACAAAAGAAGTAATAGCTTCACCCGAACCCGAACCCAAATTCACTCTCTGGTTTTGTTACCTGAATTCTCGAACAAGCATCTTATTCACATTGTGATGACCAGCCTTTGTGTGATAACGATCATGTCTTCTCAGCTGGATCAGTTAATGCTGTAAAACTGACTGCCGTGAATTTCTGGACACGGATTAGAATCACATTTCACAGATTACTTTTGTGGGTCGTAATTTGCAGCAAATAATAATAATAATAATTGGCTTGTATAGCGCCTAGTTTCCATCATAGATGCTCAACGGCGCTGCATAACATCGTTAAAAACACAATAAGTGTGAAAAGAGTTCTATTCAGAAGCCATCTTGAAGAAGTAGGTTTTGAGCAAGTTCTTGAATTGTGAATGTGACTCAGTTCGTCTGAGGGTGACTGGAAGATTGTTCCACAGAGCTGGTGCTGCTACAGAAAAGGCTCTATCACCCATTGATGTTTTAGTGCTTGGCTGTGTTAGTCTTAACGTATCTTTTGATCTAAGAGCTCTGGTGGGTACATGCAGATGTACAAGCTGGCGAAGGTAGTCACAGGACTGGTCATCGTAGAGGCAGTTATGAGTCAGTAGCAGAATCTTGAAGTAGATCCTGTACTTTACTGGAAGCCAGTGAAGGGATTTCAGAACTGGCGATATATGGTCATGGCGATGGGTTCGAGAGACCACACGAGCTGCTGCGTTTTGAATTTTCTGCAATTTAGAAAGTGTTGAAGATGCCGAGTTGCAAGAGAGTGAGTTGCAATAGTCCAGCTTTGAGATTACAAATGTTTGCATTAGGAGCTTTGTTGTCTCGGTGTCTAGGAAGCAAAGAAACCCGAAAAATAGCATGCAGCTTCAAATTACGACATAAAATCTACACCGTTTATCCAAAACCGAGGTAGAATTTAATCCACGCCATGTGACTGATAGAAATTGAATACGCAAACGTCATATTTACACAAAATCGTTGTCATACAGGGGTCAGTATAAAACGAACGAAAACACAAGGCTTTACGTTTTTGAGACAGAGACACATTTGTTTTGTATTAAACTCTGTTTATATTCTTTGCTAGATCTTGAAAATAGCCCCTGTTCATTTACATTCATGCGTCTATCGTACTGGTCAGATCAAACACGTTAGTATGAACGTAATGACACTGCTTTAATCTTAGGCTTGTGCTTAAAATCAATCAGAAGTGATATGCTATGTGAAAGGCAAATTTAACACAACATGAAAGGTCCTGAGTACAAGCCGCATGCTGAAGCAGCCATTATTCTTCTGGCTCGTCAACTTCAGTTCATCGGCCTTGACCCAAGACAAAAAGTGACATCCTAGGTCATCGTGACCTGACACTTAACGTTAATCTCCAGCTACTTTTAGGAGTTAATGAAAAAATTACTAGCCGTCCACCCACGCGAGAAAACCCTTCTTATGAGATAGTGTTGCTCTTTGTGGTGATGTAAACACTAGATATTGTCTTCCCAGTCTGGCCCCAGAATAGCATAAGTACTAGTGATGATTTTGAGGCCAGCCGTGTGTCTTTCGAACGGTTAAAGTTACTTTGCTCAACTGATTTCATTTAAGGAAGTCCAATGGGACACTCGATCCCGCCAGCCTACAGTCTTTGTTAAATTCTTGTAAACATTGTGGTGGTATAAGTTGCTTGTTGTCCCACGCCGCAATAGTCCACCCGTATGGAGCCCATACAGCCCAGTGCTTGATATCATGAGCATCGACCAGCAAAAATGGGATACGATGAAGTGCGTCAACAACGTCAGCAAGCTATGTTACCTGAAAACGTGGGCAAGTATGACAGGCGACTTCCTTCGCGAGGCTTCGTTGTGGGTTCGAATTCCGATGGTGGCACGTTTTTCAGGAAATTGTTCTAATATCACAAAACAAATTCCAGCCTTTGCCTAGAAGCAAGTCAGTTAGTGCACTGTCGGATGTAAAACAGAAATAAGAGATAATAATCAGTCTGGATTACCTGCCGAAACAGACTCACCGTGCGTGAAAGGCAACGCAGTTGTGAAAAGTACATGAACAGATTACTGATAATCAGCGATGACGTCATGTGTTTGCGAGAAGGAGAACATGCCTTGCTCCACCGGTAGCACGGTAGTTTGAAACGGAATCATTACTTCTTCCATTTGTCTCACCCCACATTCACATGCCACATTTTAGAGAGTGTCATGCTTTACATCCCTATTCCATTTATGTGCTATAAACGTTCGCATTGCTGACAGTGGGATACCATGAATTCATCACCTAAGCCAGGAAGCCACGTTACCTGAAAACGTGGGCAAGTAGGACAGGCGACGAATGTTGTCAGGCTTCACAAGATTCCATTTAGGTGCTCTAATTGTCAGCATTGTTTCTTTGAAGCTCAAAAGTAAGTCAGCTACATGTTCTAAGTAAATGAATATCACTCATCTGAGACGTCCACTGCTGCCCATGGTTCCATATGTAGAATTTGTAGTAGTGACCATAGTGCGGAAGGATGCCCTAAGTACAAGAAGGCTTTGTCCGTGTGAGGAATGTCGACACTGAGGCTGCAGTCCTTTGAAATTTGACATGTCAATGCCATGTGCTTATTCTACGAAGGGCAAAACTTCAGCTCCTAATCATGCATCCTCATCAGACTGTTCCTCGGTTAGTGCGCATGTGTTCTTGTGTGTGCCCTCTACATAGAACAAAGGATGTCTTGGTTCAGAATAAATCACAACTGTCAAAATAAATTGCTCGATCAGGCATTTTTTCTTCAGTCATTTATGACATTCCTGTTTGAAGTCATTGCCGACTCATAATGGTCCTTGCAATGGCGATCGGGTGTCTAAAATTGCGTCTGCAGAAAAATCTAGTTTTGCATTTGAGACTTAATGACTATTGAGGATGATCACTGGCGATGATGCCTATCTATTTGTTAATGTTGAATTGTCAAGTTAGGTGCATTGAGGGTATTGTCTGAAAAGAATTGCTCGGCTCTCCTGACATTTTATTCTTGTTGTTTCTAAAATATACTTTTAGTTTGACCTGAAAGTTCACGTATTACATAAAAGTGAAAAGACACAAGACCACCATCATTCAAACCATATTTTTACTCCCGTAGGGACAATATATCAGTAAAAATTGGACTTATAGGGACCTGGTCCTGGACTATCATTCCCTATACTACTAAACAAGACACGGCATTTACCTGATTGGCATAATGAACTGACCCAAAGGAGAGATTACAGGGTGTTGTTATAAGCTGTAGGGGTTATGGGATGTAGGGGTTTTGGGAGGTTACCATCTAATCGTATTATGTTTGACTTTCCTGAACTACTTGAACATGAACTGAAAATGGTTTGCTGAGGCATATGCAACCGCTGTACATATTGACATATTTTCCTTTTATAGTAATAAAGGTCGACGTGTGGAGCTGAAAGATGTGTATTTTTTATGTTTTTTCCCTTCTCGGTTTACAAAAGTGAATTATCGTTTTATTACTCTTACAAATCATATGACATTTCGTAATATCGACGAAGAACGGTTTTAGCTTTAGTCGATCAGATTGCTTATTCAATTTAACTTCCTTGATCTATGATAATTAATTTCCAAACAATCAAAGCCTATACGGTGTTATAAAAAATGTCACTGAAATGAAAATGTGTATCAGGGTATAGACCTCAAGATCAAAGTGCAAGATGAGTGACAGGGCAATGACAGACTGTTACTTGGGACACAAATTCAGTACAGTTGTTTGTAGGTGTCAACAATGTATGCATTGGATTTATAGAGCCATATATGTATTACAAGTCTGTTGGAGCTGTAGTAAGATGATACTTTCTTATGAGATAACAAGCCAATACACAGTTAAATGACGGAGTAGACGGAAGGTTAATCTATAAGTGTGGTATGGTTTCTCAGTAGATGCTTCGACTGAGTAATACACACACGGAGTTCCGCGCTTGCTGTAAGACCTGGCTCGCTGACCTGGTTCATGCATGACACAGTATCCCAAATGTGTAAATCGATGTTCATGATATCAGTCACAAGATTGTCTAGAATCGACTATTTACAGACCGCCGTGATATAGCTGGAATATTGCTGAGAAATAATAAACAAAGGAAGAGTAATCCTCTATTTATTAAATGAATAAAGAATCAGAATCGTATCTAATCGTTTCTAATCATAGTTAGTTTAGTTTAGATTACGTTTTTCCGTCTCTTTTTTAAATTCAACGTTTGCGTAATACATGAACTGATATCGCAGCGAGCCTTTCAAAACATTATTACAAAATATTCTTGTCTATGTCTATTTCCAAATATTTTAAAATTGTAACGACTTTTGTAAATGAAATTAAGTTTTTGAACAGTTTGAAGTAAGCGGTAGTTTTCCCTTTGTGCATGTATGTTTCATGAAAATAGTATTTCGAGTCCATCCGCGATTCGAACTTTCACTGTGAGAGTAAGGCATCTAACCGCCAAAAGAAATTCAGCGGCTCAACTCACCAAGAAACTCCGACAACAGGTTGTGTAACGCTAGTTCAGGTACTTCTGTAACCTTATGATAAGTGTAAGTGTCATTTGGAACGGCTACAGTGCGTAACTCCATGTAAAGACTATGCCATTATTTTTCAAATTTCAGAAAAAAAACCTGCATGTTCGTCCACCAGGTCATGTCAATGTCAGACAATTCTCCTAGGGTCCCTTAAAGACATCAAGTTCTCCATCGTTTTAGCCATGTCGTCCCGTTTCTTTTCCTAAAATATATCTACTGAGGCAAATGTATGACAGATGAGTATTAAATCGATATTGGTTTCTATTTTTTTAAACTGATTTGGCTTATAAGCCTTAGCACTGCAGTGTCTGACGATCTGACATTCCTGAACATGCAGTTGCACGTACAAAACAATTCCAGTGAGAACAGGTCCCAATCAAACTTTGCTGTACCTGAGAGGGAACTTAAATGAAACGGGTTGACTGGATAGTCTCTATTACATAGTTGCGTGTCATCTTACTCCTTTGTTGCTCTTAATATCAATCACTGGACTTGATAAACACAAACTTACACACACAAACTCGTAACCATAACGAAAATGTCATTTCTAAAGCGTGAATTTGTCGTATTCATTTCCGGGAGGGCTCGCACTGTCATGAATACCGTTTTCACACCGTGAAACCTGGAGGTTCTTATTCAGCTGTAAATAATCTATTCCCTCTGTGGTTGTTGTAAATGGATATATTTGTGATTCTTCCTGCCTGTATTCTACAAAGCTATACCTACATGTCACAATTCGATGTTTTCTATTTCCACGAATTCGTCATTTTGTATGTTTGGAAAGACGTGGTGCTTTTTTTTCATTTTTAACTTGAAGTGTGACTAGTGTGCTTTTATCTAGAGCATAATTTTCCATTCATTTTGCATGACATTGAATTTGGCTTTAACCATTAAATATACGATTCCTTTCAGCTGTAATGCTCTTTGCTGACATATGTACTTGTTTTTCAAATAATTTCAGTCCATGCAGGAAGCAAATGTACTTTTAGTCCCCATGGTCCCTAGTATGGTGATCTACCTTCAGTCGTTGGCAATCTATAGCCTGTTTTTATATTGTATTGTCATTTATAGGTGAAACATTTTAGATTTAGTTATTAGTTTTAAATGGATATCTGTGATAAACTAGTAGTTTTACTGTTCTTTAGTTTTTAATTTCTACCTTTATTGATCTTTAATATAATTATAAATTGTTCTCGTCACGATATGGCTGAAATATTGCCGATGCGCCGATAAATATTAACTCACTCACTCAAATAATTTCATGTAAATCTCTCTGAATACATCTGTTGGATTCAAACTTTACAGACATGTGAAAATCAAGCAATATATATCAGCGAAGAGCTAAGAACTAGTTTAAAGCATCTTCATCGTTCTCAGACACGCATAAATATGCATAAATATAACATTTAGATGCAATGTAGCGTTCAATGTTTACCAAGATTTCAAAGTTCAGAAAAATTTTACTAGCCTTTGCGTTTGTTTATGGCGGTGTCACCTGTGGAGCTCATTTTCTCTCTATTTCACTAGTAATTCAAATAAAGGTTCTCACGATACAATTTTACTGGAGATTTCTTTTGGACATGGAAAGGGTTTTGTTCCTAATATTTTCATCAGTTATTCAACCATATGACGGTGATCTCTAAATAATTCAGTCTGGACGAGATGATATACCTCACATCACGAGCATGAAAGTAGGTAAATATGATACGATAACATTCATCAAACAGGCCAACGAGCCTGAGCACCCGTAAGAAGAGTCTTACGATAAGCATGGGTTGCTGAAGAATAATTCTAAACCGTATCTTCACGGGTGCCCTCTTTTTGTAGTTGACCATATGTTTGTCTGCATGTTAAACCTCTATTTCGGTGTAGTTTTAGAAATCAGAAAGTGATTAGAGTACGATTGATTTATATGAATATGAACAACACTAACTCATTTATATGTTTACACCTTTTTTCTTACGATCTGGCATTTCTGATCTGACAAAATAAGTTTGTTCCATAATAGACTGAAAGAGCTATCGTTCCGCTCATATAAAATGCCTTATTTTACGTTTTGTGATTTTATCATTACATGAAGGCCTTGTATAAAGACAGTACATATAGACACTCCCAAAATTTCCCCAAATCAAACTCTCTATTCGTACAGATGCCATATAGGTGCCTACCAGGATAAAACGGTGAATAAACATGAACGCTTTTTTCTGGAGAGTAAATCACATGTTAACTATGTATAATTTACCTTAAATTACCAGCACTGTGTTAATCATCAACGTCTCTCTGTGACAACTTGGGCTAGTGATGTGAAGTAGGCCGTGTTCAGCTATTGCAACAATCCTTCACAACTATTTTCGTACTCTAAGGAACGTGTGCCAGAGAGCGGAAGTACCAGAACACCAAATTATGTTAAAAATCTCATTTTTGTTACAGGGTCGGCAGTGTAACAAACGGTTACAGCGTCCGTTTGTCACACCGAAGGACCAGGTTCGATTCCCCTCATGGGTACAGTGTGTGAAGGCAATTTCTGGTGTCTCCCGCTGTGATGATCCTGGAATATTGCTATAAGCTGCGTAAAACCCAACTCACTCACTTATTCTTAGTCTGAGTTTGGTATTACGACAAGGCCGGCTCGAAGTCAGTTCAATATGCTCCAGGGTATTCATGTTAAACTACGATATGGCAAAGCAGTGGGCTCGTACCATATAACAGGCGTACAACCTGTCTAAGACAGACACACATACATGCATGATCGTGTCCATGTAAATTAAATAATCGTGAACGCTACCATAAAACTTCACCTTTATATATATTATGTGCGACATTTTAGCACGGTAAAACACTGTAACGAATGCAAATTCTACGGGTGGTGGGCACTACAGATAGGGCAGGGCATGCTTACCATTTTCACTGATTTTCAGTTGTGACTTGATTCACATAACGTGGTCTGATAATCGCCACTTGTTATTGTCTGGTGTTCAAATTTTATTATTTTGATAATAGAAAGATATGTTGCGTATGAATGTGTAATTTACGAAGGATGATACGTCAATAAATTTATCTTGCCAGCAAACAATGTGAATGTCTCAGGATATCATGTTTGTAAAGTCTATCCAACCTTCCACGACAGCTGCTTATATAAATGTCAAAGTCAGTTGTGCTCTTTCTCCGGAACATATAATTGGACAGAGTGTCTTCTGTGTTTAAATGTATTCTATTACTTCCGACAGCTATAGGTATATTGCTTGTTTATTCTGTTTCGTAAATGAGACAATCTACTTCAACGCTCTCACAGCAAATATTAATAACCCCAAAACTACTTCATCGATTCGGTATTTATTATTCATTTGACTTTAGCTTTTTAACATGCCAACTTTTTGCAATGCACCTAACAAAAGCTGTTCGCCGATATTAATTTAGGGTTTCAATTTATATCAGCTTTGGAACTTGGAACCCTCTCCTGTTGAATAGTTTTGAAATTAATCTAAACCGCCGACACTCTGGGGCTCAAGCTCACTGTATTTACAAAACCATATAAACAACATTAAGACAACATGCATCATTCGTTAGTTCACTTCACCGACATTATCTAGTTGCTGACTGTGAAATAATGCACAGATTTTGTACAGTTTATGACATCATGGTGTAATGGCGTAATAGTCATCATGATGAAGTTATATCTCAGATGGATTGTTGTGAGGTATATCGTTTGCATCCCTCACTTAGGTGTTGCAAAAAAATTGTCAAAGTTACACTTTCTATGGAACCGGTGAGAGTTAGGAAGTTAGCGCTTCTCCTAAAAGAAATTATAACCTACCTGTGCAATAAAGTACATTTTGTGAGCATTCTTAACAGGAGGAGTTTTTTCCAACTCCAAGTGGTGAAGTTGCGTCAAACCTTAAAGGTACTTCCATAACCCACTCGTAATTTATCAATTAGAAGTAGAACATGAAAGTACGTGTACGTCTGTTCTGGAAATGGCGTATGTTCCAGTATATGTCTAGCCATTCCATATGTTATAATGAATACACAATACACGATGTTATCACAGCTACCACGCGGAAAACTGACCCCAGGACCAGAGGTCTGGAACAAATGACTCCTGGACAAGAGGTGCTGGAATGTTGACCACGTTGAAACGTTGAAACCTGGACAACTGGACCTGAAAAAAGGACACCTGGACAATTGGACTAAGAACGCTGATCCCTGGACAATTGAACATTGAAAGCTGAGCCCTAGACAATTGGACATCAGAAGCTGATTCCTGGACAATTGAACATGAACAGTTGAAACCTTGACACATACTCATCATAGGTAGATTTATACTGCACCATACAAGAAGACGGTAACAGAAGGTTGTTTTCATCATTTTCATCATAAAACTGGTCACTCATTTTAGATCAAAACTAGCATTTCTCTCAGATGGTTACCGAACTTAAGGTTAGACGTGGACACGGTGTGACATACGGATAGGTTTGAACGCTTGAAAGTGAAACAGTCAGTGGGTTACTAATGGGTTTTATATCCATTCCATGTTTTGGTTATTGGAAACACCAATAATGTAGCTCATACTCGAAACGTCAGCGCCAGAGAATCAGACTCGATTATCTGCCGAAACTGCAGCCTCTATTGGCAAAGGCAAAACTGTGACAAACATAAAGGAATGGCTCACTGAAAATCACTGGTGGCACCAGTTATGTCGTGAAAGGGCCTGTTCTTCCTGAAGAAATTGCCTCAAACAATGTTTCAGAACACATTAAAAACGTGTTGCTACAAGCAATCTTGTATCACAGAAATGATGTTGGGTTGCCTTCTATTTCAAATAAATTTATTGCCGTAAGTTCCACATATCACCGAGGTCGGACTAGTAATGGGTAGCATTCCGTAATGTCCCAGTTTAATCAGGTCTAATGCCACCTAATGGCTGAATTTTTAACGGGGGTAATCGGTTACACTTAACCGATGAAACAAGATCACACGTGGCCTAATGTGCCGCATTTGTTATGCAACTTGTGATATTGAACGAACCAGACAAACAGTGTTGATATTTTGCATGCTCTGTAAACTTTTGTCCATTTGTTCTGGCGGAACTGATCAGCAAGGCTTTGCTTCCATCTCATCCATTATGTTCCGGAAGTTTGTATCAATAATATCCGTCCAACTAAAATCCTCTTCCAAGTAGCTGATCATGCATGTTTAATTATGTATCTATGGTTCACACAACAATAGTGCAAAGACATATATCTCAAATGGACTAATGACACCAGGCATTTAAACATAATAAAAAATGGTGGAAGTACATGATGATATTCAGATACCGTAAACAGTATGATAAAAGGTAGTGGCAGCATAAGGAAGTTCCAATCACGGATCAAAACGATTATTTCACTACATGTTAGATACAGACTATTTCAGCATTAATCGACCCGCAATAAGATAAATTTAGGATCTGGCATTCCTTAATTACGAGTGAAGTAGAACCAATCAATACACGAGGCGAGAAACACCTTTGATGTTCTGCGCACCAATTACTTCGGGAATTAATCAGAGGCACATTCTGCCGCCCTGGTTACTAATAAAACACACACGGGGGAGTTAGACGTACGGGCTAAGCATCAGCTTTGGCAAAAATAGAAAGTTAAATAGAAATTCTTTTTTTTGTTCCCTATGTAAAAATCATTCCATTCCTAAATGTAAATGGGCCCCTACAACCGAAGTAAGAACTTAATACCGGTTTAGTCTTTTGGATACTTTATTCGCACTCAGCAATATTACAGCTACGAGGGGCGTCCTATACGTAGTCGGCTTAACTATATAAAGGGGAGTCACTTTAACAAGCGATTGTAGTTTCAAATTGCATTTTTATGCACTTTAATCTACGTTTGATTCTAGAAGACTTCTGCCTATCTCAAACACACAAAATGTTTCTTGCATATTTTGTTTCCTGAAGTTTGTGATGCATACATTGCAGATTTTGCGATTTTGGGGTGGTACCAAGATAAGGCTGGCTGGCTGAGTATGGTTTTACGCCGTTTTTAGCAATATTCCAGCAATATCACGGCGGGGGACACCAGAAATGGGCTTCACAAGTTGTACCCATGTGGGGAATCGAACCCGTGACGAGCGAACGCTTTAACCACTGGGCTACCCCACCGCTCAACCAAGATAAGTAGTCAAACAAAATGAGATCGTGAGGATGGAACATGACAAAAGCAATTTGCTTGAGGTTGACAGATAATATGTAGAAAAAGGAAACATAAAAACAGCTGCATTTGTATAATTTAGGTGAGGCCGTCTACCTTTGGGACGTTCCTCGTATATGGCGGCGGTCTGTAAATAATTGAATCCGGACCAGAAAATTCAGTGACCAGCAGGATGAGCATCGACCAATGCAACCTGGATACGATGACATGTGTCAACCTGTCAGTGAGCTTGACCACCTGATCCCGTCAGTTACCTCGTACAACAAACATGGATTTGCTGAAGGCCAATTTCTAACCCTGATCATGGGTCGCTTAATACTGAAGGCTATACATCTTTTTGGGGGGGAGTAATTCGAATTTAATTTGAACATTTATCGAATATAAGATTTTTGTGATTTAGGTTAACTGAACACAAATATTGTAGTTTATATTCTATGATCAATTCTGACAGTTTGTCTTTCTCCAATAATGTTACGATTGTAGGTTAACTGTTATTATTATGTATAAGTAGTTACTAAACAATAGGCCCCAGGGATATACAAGGGGTTAGAACTGGCCTTCAGCAACCATTATTGTAAGAGACGAATATTGGATCGGGTTATCATGATCGCTGTCATAGATCATGGTTGCTGTCGTATTTAAGCTGTGTAGGTCGGTGCTCATGGTGTCCATCACTGGAGTGTCTGGTCCACACTCGATTATTTACGTCATGAAGTTTGCAAATATTCCTGAGTGAGGTGTTAAACAACACAGCAAAAAAATATAAAGCAATATGCGACATTGACACTCTTTGTACAATGATGCAGTTTGATAATTATCCACGTGTAACTATTGATTTGTCTTTGCATGTGTTTGCAACGAGTGCCACTGATGGGGCAGGATGCGCTCCCCTTTTAGCACATAGGTAGTATCATCGCTAATGAATATTGATTCATGAACACATGCACATCACATAGTCAAAAACGTAGAATCAACTTGAGGATCAGAAAGATGTTTGCCTGTTTCAACACACATGAATGTAACGATGCAATACACCATGTCTTACTCTTTTACACATGTATCACAGTTTATTGCAGGTACCAGGTAACTGTAGTCCAGTCGGCCCATAGTTCACAATGGCTGTTTTAGTTTGTATTTAATTTTTAAAAGCACCAACAATGTGTGCAATATCATATGAAATTGTACATCAAATATTAACAAATACGTATATAGTGATGTAAAACATTTTATCCAGTCTAGCTATGAAAATAGTTAAGGCTCAAATTTCATGAATTTATGATATTGTCTAAACAAATATGCTCTTTGGTCGTCTTCTGAAAGTAGTTATTTCGCAATGTTTGACATACAAGCACTTAAATCTGGAGGCGATGT